TCCTTTATGAAACCTGTCGCGACCGGTGTGACAAACACCGAGGTCAGGGTCCTGAGGGTAGGGGAATGCAAGAAAAAAAGAGAGAAGAGAAAGTTTGGGAACAGGAGGGTCCCCTGGGCTGATGGCCCAAGTGACGGCTTTATTGTTGCTGTACACAATCTTTTATAATATAAGACTTTTATGGATCAGGTCATTCTAAGAATAAACAGGTTTCACATGATCACTGCCAGCCAAAACATTTAGTTCTGTGTACCTTGTGAACTTTCTGAATGGGTCACAAGACCTTATTGATAAGATTGCTAGCAAAACACAGTTCCCATGTTTGTTTCTATCTGACTCGGGGTAGAAGAAGGGAGGTAGCATTACGGCCAACATCTGCAGACCACAGGCTTCAGGAATTAACTTTCTCAGCCTTGACAAGGCTTTCGTATGCCCTTGAAAGTGGGGGAATGGGAGTGGGAACCACCGGGTTGGCTAAGTCAACAGGGAACGTTGCTCGACCCGGTCTCAGCCTGGCGCTGGGGCCTGGCCCCCCACAGAAAACACCAATAACATTTTCACAGAACTAGAATAAATTATCTAAAAGTTTGTATAGAACTACAAGAAACTGTGAATATTCAAAACAATCATTAGAAAGACGAACAAAACTGGAAGAAACATGGCCTTACATTTCAAACTATACTACAAAGCTCTAGCAATCAAATCAGTATGGCACAACAATGGACACATAGAACAAAGGAATGGAACAGAAAGCCCAGAAATAAGCCTTTGTCCATATGGTCAATTAATATATGACAAAGAAGGCAAGAAGAGACAAAGGGGGAAAGAGAGTCTTCAGTAAATGGTAATTAAAAAAAACCTGGAAAACTATATGTTAAAGAACAAAACTGGACTGTTTCTTTACAACATACACAAAAATAAATGTAAAATGAATTAAAGACATAGATGTAAGCCCTGAAACCATAAAACTCCTAAAGAAAGTGTAGGTAATAAACTGTAGGAGGTAGGTGTCATCTTTATTCTTTTGGGTCTGTCTTCATAGAAATGGCGACAAAATGAAAAATAATACATCAAACTACAAAGATTTTGCCCAGCCAAGGAAACTACCTACAAAACAAAAAGGCAGCCTACTGAATGGGAGATGATATTTGCAGATGATATATCTGACAAGAGGTTAAAGTCTAAAATATATGAAGAATTTCTACAGCTCAACACCAAAGGAACCTATACAAGTGATTAAAAATGGACTGAGGACCTGAATAGATATTCTTTGAAAGAAGATAAACAGATAGGCAATAGACACATAAAAAGATGCTTAACATTACTAATGATCTAGAAAATGCAAATCAAAACCACAATGAGAGGTGCGCCTCTGTGATTCAGTTGGTTATGCATCCATCTTCAGGTCATGGTCTCCTGGTTGGTGGGTTCAAGCCCTGCGTTGGGCTCTGTGCTGACAACTCAGAGCCTGGAGCCTGCTTCGGATTCTGTGTCTCCCTCTCTCTCTCCCCCTACCCCTGCCTTCTCAAAAATAAACATTAAAAAAATAAAAAAGTACTTTCTCTGTCCTACTCCAATATTTTGAGTTAAGTGAAATTTTTAAACATTTGTTAATTATCCTCTACATAGTTAGACTTAGGCTTTTTTTCATTTCCAACAAATATTCCCATTAAAATACAGACACCTAGTTATCATTGGAGGAGGAATAAATAAATAAAATGAATAATTATTTAATATTCAAATCTCTCATACGTGCTATTGTTCAATATTGTCTATTATTTTATCTTTCCCACAGGATTTGTTTTTTTTTAGCAGTAACTTAAACTTGTTTACAAATAATAAAAATAGAATGTAGGTATGTTAAAAACTAAGGTAGAAAATTGATAAGATAAATTCAGAAATTGATGTCTTTATGACAGTTACAATAAAATGGAAAATGTAGTCAATCTTCTCTATTAGTGTCAAATATAATTAAATATCTGTCGATAGGATGATGATTTTAGAATATTTTTGGTATAGTGGAAATGACATAATAAGGACAGAAGAAAAAGTACATAATGTCAAGATGTAGCAAAATTGTCTAAAAGTAAAACTTAAACATCTAAGATATTTTACACAAGGCCTAAATCCTCAGTGTTTGTCATTCAGAGGGAAGCAAGTGAACAGCCTGGGTGGTTAAGTCTCTGACCCCAATATCTCGTGGAACATAAAATTTGTCAGAGGTATTTGCTGAGGGACAAACTAAATGACATACTGCCAGCTCAAAGCCTCTACATTCTGGAGGTGTGTGAGGAGATAAAGTGTCTTCAAAATAGCCCAAGAGTAAGAATTTCCTGTTCAAATTTGAAGTGACACATTGATAAGAAATCTACTTTTTCCATTATTGCCTCACTCTGAGCTCTCACAGGGCTGGCAGGCTGTGAAGACCACAGATATTTTCGGTTTACAAGAGGAACCTGGTTCCCTCTGGAAGATGCGTGACTGGCCAACAGAAGGTATGTGTCACCACGGTCCTGCCTTTCTAGTAGTCACCTCAGTGAGTGGGAGATTATAAATGCTGGTGGGATGCACCTGAGACACAGCTAATATACAATGAAATCACAGAGAACATTGGTATCTGCATTCCAACAATTCAGGGTAACAAGCAAGAATGAGCATGAAATATGTTGGAGATCTTAAAATATTCAAATTCTTGCCTGTGGAGAAGTCATTAAGAGCATATTCATATGCATAATTGGGTTTGTAAAGCAATATAATTTCGGGTGAGATCAAATAAGCATCATGACGAAGGACACTTAATTTGGATTTGTCATCAATGATATATTACATATTATTTGATATTTACCCAGCCTTTAAAAATAGATTCTTAAAATGAATCCATTATATCATATAGGTCAAATGTAATTCCTCATACACTTACTTCAATAAATGAAAGCAGTTTGATTTTTTATAATATGCAAAATGAGGTACCTTCTGTAAAAATGCTAACTTAAACTTAACTGTAAACAATCCAAAGACTTTTTATAAAATTGAACAAAACTTGGCCAAGAAAGATATTCAATACTGAAAGACACTCCTGTCTAATGAATTATGTTACATGGTCTAAATGATATGAATCACTAATGATAAACAATTATTGTGTTAAAAATAATTAATATAACTAATATGTTATTGAGATCTTAGAACAGTCAGATTGAGTTTAAGTGCTTTATATGCATCACATTCTACATATTTTAATTCCTATTTTAGATTAGTAAATTAGATAGCTAGACAATAAATAATTAAAAATTTTCTTAGCAATTTTTTATATTTGAGAGACATAGAGAAAGCACGAGTGGGGGAAGAGCAGAGAGAGGGGGAGACACAGAATCCAAAGCAGGCTCCAGGCTCTGAGCTGTCAGCACAGATCCCAGTGCATGGCTCCAACCCATGAACCATTAGATCATGACCTCAGCCGAAGTTGGACGCTTAACCGACCAAGCCACCCAGGCGCCTCATCATGAAAGAATTTTTAAAGGTGATACTTTGCACTTTGAGAGTCAGGAGTAATTCCAGAGTTCACTGACTGCAGAGCTCATTGACTGAAGTGTGAGATTACATTTATGTGATTTATTAGTATAACTGTACAACTAGAGTCTACCCTCACTGCCTTTGAAATAAGATCTTTCTAGAAGTTTGTAACAATTGTGTTCCTCCATAAATGATCTACCCTTTTATTTATCATAAAGGTTTCATATCTTTGACATTAAATCAGTTGTCACTGTTTGATGTTCATTAAGTCTTCTTTTAAAAATGGTTTTTTGTTTTTTGTTTTCTGTTTCCACTGTTGTTCCTGCTTTGGATAACTTATTGTGCCATGTAACATTTTGCAACATATGAAATATTTCTTCTAAAATTTAACAATTCTCAGAACTAACCAGATGTTCAAAATAAAATATCATTTTGATAGTACTGCATTACTTTTTAGCAACACAATTTAAAACCACAAATAAAAGTCATTTGCAACAGGAAATTCCTACATGTGCTAAAAATAATATTCTCCTATCTTAGAGCACTTAATTTTTAACCAATAATGGCTTTAACATTGTCACAAAATGGTGCAACACTTTTGTTTCTAATACAGCATTTTAATTTTAACCTGGTTATTCTCATAGTGTTGAAATATGTCTGTGGAAACTGTCCTCACATTCATGAGGACATTATTATTCATGAATTCCTTTCTTTTTCACTAATTTAGTGCCTTACATGTTTTCCAATCAGTATTATTGTGCTATTATTGTAAATAAAAAACATTTATTCTATCATGAAACACTTA